TTCAAAGCTGGTAGATTCAGAACTACGGATTCTACAGACCCAAATGGCGGGAGGGACACATCCATTTACCAGAATCAGCAGATTCCAAGAATGTTATTATTTCCTCCCTTTGTCCTCCTACCTGGTACTGCAGTTTGCTGTGGGTCTTCCTGATTCAAGGAATTCAGTTGGTGCTACAAGATGCAAAGACCCATCTTCCCCTGCTTGCTCCCTCCCAGGTTACATACTGAACCCCCAGCCATCAAAGGAGTTGCTCTTCACATATCTCCTTTCTAAGATGGCAGAAGGGTTACTAAGATGTAGACAGTTCTGTGTTTGAGTTAGTGAATCCTGAGAAGCACACAGGTTTCCTAGGAATGTTGTCCCAGATTTTTGGAGTGGGAGTAATATCTGGGATGTGCACATTTTCAATGGGTCAGCTATACTGGTGTAAATCTAGACTGACTCTACTGATGTCTGTGGTGTTACTCTGGATTTACAGCAATGAAATGACAAATCTGGCCCAGTACCTCTAGTTCATTTGGCTCCCCTTTGCATAGAACCAAATTCATTTCACAGTTTGCCTCTAGAAAATTACACCATTACCTATAGTTACAAGACCTTGTGATATATGAAATGTGTAATTTTACCTTTGGAATATGATACACTCTTATGAATTATGCAGAGAAAATGTCTATCACTCCACCTACATAAGACATTTTTCTGAATATATGCATATTAGGCTGTCATATTAGTCAGATTGCTCTTATGGCCTGATGGCAGACTTCATTTGCAGCAGCCCAGGCATATGAAATCAAAGGGTCAAGCTATGACAGCTCTGACTTTTGGTTCCCTGTTGTTTTTTTTATTTTAAAATAGACCTTAATACTTCTTCAGTGTATTTTTTTAATGCATGTTTTTGTTCTTTCTGGTGCACACTCTCTCTGTCTATTCTGTATCTGTTTTTATAATTATAATACTTTGCACGTATATATAGCATTTTTATTTAAACATTTCATCATGCTGTGTGGACTTTACTAATTAAGATTCACAACATCCTGTGAGGTAAATAATGGATATACAAGAGCCACAGAGATATATAAAAGCCCATAAACCATACATACAGAATAAGCCATCAAAAAGTTATCATTTACCAACCATTGCTATACAGTCCCCTCACAGTTACCACAAATATTCTTTCTCCTGAGTATAGGGGGAAATTATGGTAACCTCGGGTACTTTAAAATGGTAATAGCTGGCAAATGCTTTTTTTTTTATGGTAACGACTGCCCTTGGGTTGAGAAATTATTCTCTAGTGCTACTTTTTAGATCTCTATTGCCAACTGAAAACTGACACTTAAAAGAATGTTGGGTGAACATGAGCAGTGAAAAGGTTCAACAGACCCAAATTTCTTTGCAATGTGCTTATCAATGCAATGAGAAAATTAACTGTTGGTCATAAGGTAATACAACCCCTACTCTATTATTGGACTAAATTCTGACACCGTTACCCACACTGAGTGAAACTTTATTCTGCAAGCAGTCCCATTGATGTTAAGGTACTACTCAACAAAAGTAAAGGTATCCCGGGCTACCCCATTGTATGAAATATAATCACAAATATTTGAATTATGCAGGTATATTTTAATTTGTAACAGTGTTTCCATTCTCTAGGATAGGTTCCTTCACTGCATAAAATTGAACGAAACACCAAAATATCTGTCTCTTGCCAGTTTCTGTATTTGAGCACTACATTGCGATATGGGAAAAGAGATTACTTTTCTTTTGAACCACATAAGAAAATTAGGGCAGACACATGTTGATTAATTACATTAGTAAGAAAGATCATCCACAATGTGCCTGCCTATGACTATTATCTCTGTTCTGCCATTCTGATGTCCCAAAATTGGATGCCTCCTCTTCCTCAGTTGGAATCACTAGACATGTAGGGCCAAATTCTCCACTGCCTGGTACCTTGTGTAGGCATTTACACCTCTGTAAAGTGAATTCAAAGTGGGTCTAAAATATCACCAAATCAGACTGAAAGTAAAAATTAAGGCCCCAGTCTTCTCAATATGAGGAAAATCGATCTTGATCCTCAAAAGTTAAACTATTGGTGCAGACTCCACTGTCAGTTCCAGTATGGCTCTTGAGTGTTGATTAGGAGAAATCAACATAAAATATATTGAGTCAAAATCAGTACTGGTGAAAGTCAATTTTCCTTAGTAGGGGAATTTGGCTTTGTGAATGGAGCATGAAACTTTGCTCCATCAGAAACCACACATGAATATAAAAGATTAAATTAATAATACTTTATTATTAGAACTGTCTGTACTTGGTCTACAATAAATATCATTTTGAGAAAATGTTGAAGCATGAAGATAAGCATACTTCTTGCCCTCTGAGAGCTATGACTGAATGTTATTTTGATTTTGGAATGCCCGTAACAATCAATGAGAGGTTTGCATCCAGATCACTGGCAGGACACAGCCCTTACAGGGCAAAATGTTGGATAAATTATTGAATTAGTGAATCTTGTATACCTGTAATGCTACTAGAATAGTTTAATGGATTACCTGCTGCATCCACACTCTGGCCAAGGTGCTTAAATATGTGTCTACCTTTAAACTTCTAACTAGTCCCATTGACTTAAGTGGAATTACTCACAGATAGAGCTGTTTGAGGATTTCAGGTTCTGATTTGCAGGAAATTCTGTGATTTTGAAATTAGTTTTGTTCTGAATCTGAATGAAAACAAAGGATTTCTAAAATTCCTGTGACATGAAATTTACAGGAAAAAAATGTAATCATGTCAATCAAAACACTTTGTTTCAATAAAATTGAAACATTGCATTTTAATGTTTACATTAATTTCTAAACAAAAGTTTATTTTATTTAAAAATCAAAACATTCTGTTCCAAAAATGTCACAGTGAAATGTATTGACTTATCAAAATACTTATTTTTCCCAATTTATTTCCCAAAAGGGAATTTCTTTGGAAATCAACACATTTCCGTAGGAAGTTTCAATTCCAATGAAATGACATTTTCTGATGGCAAAACATTCAATTGGAAAAAAATTGAGCAGCTTTATTTACATGGTTAAAGTTAGGCACATGCTTAAGAACCTTGCTCAACTTCATTCTCTTTCAGTAAATTAGACGTAACCCAGATAATCATAGGAATGTAGGACTGGAAGGGACCTCAATAGTTCATCTAGTCCAGTACCTTGCAAAGAGGCAGGAGTAAGTATTACTAAGAACCATCCCTACCAGGTGTTTGTCTAACTTGTTCTTACAAACCTCCAATGATGGAGATTCCACAAACTCCCTAGCTAATTTGTTCCAGTGTTAACTACTTCTACAGCTAGGAAATTTTTTCCTAATGTCTAATCTAAATCCCCTTTGCTGCAATTTAAGCCCATTACTTCTTGTCCTGTCCTCAGTGGTTAAAAAAGAACAATTTATCACCCTCCTATTTACAACAATCTTTTACATACTTAAAAACTGTTATGTCCCCTCTCAGTCTTCTCTTTTCCAGACTAAACAAACCCTATTTTTCATCTTTCTTCATAAGTCATGTTTTCTAGACTTTTAATCACTTTTCTTACTCTTCCCTGGACTTTCTCCATTTTTTCCACATCTTTCCCAAAGTGTGGTGCCCAGAACTGGACACAGTACTTATCAGTGCCGAATATAGAGGGAGAATTACTTCTGTTGTCTTGCTTATAACACTCCCAGTAATATGTCCCAGAATTATGTTCACTTTTTTTTGTATTACATTGTTGACTCAAATTTAGTTTGTGATCCACTATAACCCCCAGATCCTTTTCTGCAGTACTCCTTCCTAGGCAGTCATTTCCCATTTTGTGTTTGTGCAATTAATTATTCCTTCCTAAGTGTCGTACATTGCATTTGTCCTTATTGAATTTCATCCTATTAATTTCAGACAATTTCTCTAGTTTGTCAAGGTCATTTTGAATTCTAGTTCTGTCATCCAAAGCACTTGAAACCCCTCCAGTCTTGGCATTATTTGCAAACTTTACTTTCTATGCCATTATCAAAGTGTACTTTCTATGCCATTATCAAAATCATTTATGAGGATATTGAATAGAACCAGACCCAGAACAGATCCCTGCAGGACCTCACTCGATATGTCCTTCCAGCTTGACTGTGAACCATTGATAGTTACTCTCTAAGTATGTTTTTTCCAACCAGTAGTACAACCATGTATAGTAGGTTTGTGTAGGCTATATTTCCCTAGTTGGTTTAAGAGAAGATCGTGCGAGATAGTATCAGAAGCTTTAACTTGCACAGCTGACTTTTCACAACTTTTTTTTTTGGTCGTTTTGCATTTCCAAAGAGCTTGTTTTAATCATTTGTGTGTTCTATTTCTTCATTCCCTCACTCTCACCGTCACTATCATGTAACAGTGGAGGGTCACACTGTATGTATAATTGTAGCATTCACCATTGTATATTAGATGGCAAACACTCATGCCAGTGTAGGTTATTCATAGCTTCCAAATAAAACAGAGGTTAATTTCTGTGTGACAGAAAATGAGGCATTGCCATGTTAGTGTCTTCAATCTGATGACTGACTAATGGCAAATGCATATTCTCTGTGCAACCATTCCTAAAGCATACGCAGTGCAACATTTTCAACAGCATTTATGTGACTTAGGAGTTTAAGTCCCATTTTCAGAAATGAGTTAAACACTAGGGACCAAATCCTCAAATGTCTGTAGCACCACTGATTTCAATGGAAGTTGGGTGTTAAATATCTTTGAGGATCTGGTTTTAGAAGTCTACGTCCCATTGACTTCCAATGAGATATAGACTCCTAAGCCTCTTCCACATTTTTGAAAATGTTTCCCATCATATTTAGTTTCAATTACTTATGCTTAGCATATATATGTATATATTGGGCACCAACCTTTCCCTATTACAGTGATCCAGTTTGAGTTAACCTCATGTTGCACGCTGGTTAGCAAGACATTGAAATGCTCAAAATGCTTATCATACCTGATTGTGGACTCTGTTTTGGGATTTTAGCTGCTGCTTCAGGGCTGGCGGTGGAGCGCATTCGCTGATTGGAAAAGTTATGGACGCTACTGGGAACAGCTGCTGAGATGTTCTTGCGAGGTTTCATATCTTGCAACCACATTGGGGATGCTTCAAAGGCCTGCATTCGCCGAGAGTGGCTGTTAGCATTGACTTTGAGAAATGCCTGGGCCTTGTATTCCTGAAGGTCTCCATAGTTGGCATCTGTCACCCTGCACTCATACAAGCCTTCATCCTTTTTCCTCACTTTTGAAATCTGCAGCTTGTGGGAGATGTCATTCCCTTGTACTTTCACTGTCTGCAAGTTTTCCAGGAACAAAAAATATCAGACATTACCATTCTGACATTCTTTCTCTATGAAGAATATACTGACATACAGAATGCAGCTATCCTAAGGGTATGTCTACACTGCAGTTAGACACCAGGGACTGGCCTATTCCAGCTGATTTGGGCTTACAGGACTCAGACTGCAGGCCTGTTTAATTGCAGTGCAGACTTCTGCGCTTGGGCTGGAGCCCAGGCTCTAGGACCTGCAAGGTGGGAGGGTCCCAGAGCTCAGGTTGCAGCCTGAGCCTGGAAGTCTACACTTCAATTTATCAGACCCAAAACCCAAGCCCTGTGACCCCGAATCAACTGGCAAAGGCCAGCTGCAAGTGTCTAACTGCCATATAACAGACCCTAAAAGACCATGGGCCAAACCAATGTGATGTAATTTTGCTTATTTCAGTGAAATTACACCAAAGATGAATTTTGCTTTCTGTAGGCATAGGGACAACTGGTGACTTAATTCCAAATCTACTTAGATGGTTTTCTCTGAAATGTTAATTGGCCTCAGACAAACAACCCAGTCTCCCATGCTCTTTAATTAATTCTTTCAGATCATGAGCATTCTTAATGAGCTTTCTTGCATGAAGCTGATGTCAGTGCATTTCTTTGGTTAAACCTTTCCAATTAGATGACTTTATTGAATCATTCAGATTTCGAACCACTGCATTAACAGCCTTATTGAAGATGTTTGCCAATGTTTAAATTTCTTTAACACTTTATTAGATTATCTTGTAGTCTTCATTGTTTTAAAAATTATCACTTGACATTAAATTTGTCTCCTTCAGGCTTCTGCAAGGCATTTGCTAACTGTAATGCTGAGGCATCTGGTGACATGTAGCCAGTTCCCCCCCCCCCTTATTTATAGAAGCATGTGCTTATTAAAATATTGTGACATCTCTGTGATTTGACAATAGAAAATAGCTCATACTCTATGTTATGTTGGGAGGCATCAGCTAATACCAAGACAGGCAATGTATCCTAATCCTAAGGCAGCCTAACACATTTTTCACCTTATATAATTAATTTAAAAGCACAAATTATTTATTTTTGAAGACGTAACAAGACATTGCAATTTACTCATAAGTGAAAGGTACTAAAAAACACTAGCAAAAGTAGCAGATTTTTTCTGTACACTTCTTTCCTTATAGTCATTTATATTTAATTGTATATTACTTGATATCTGTGATACCAGAACACTTTTTCATTTATGGATTACCCTAACAGCAAGCCAGTTTGAGGGTTCATCATCATTGAAAACTATGAGTTTTAGGGAGTGCCCTTAATTCTGCTGCCTATATCCGTTATATAAATTCAGATGCAAATGTAGCTTCATTTAATGTAACTACAGAAGATTGAAGGCAGTATGCAGTAGAGAAACATTTGGATAATGAAGATGTGACAGATCTTAGAAAAGGAAAAGTATTACACTGCAACCAGGTATATGTTATTTATGATTATTCAACATAATGTTCCTGACAACTTGGCATATCATAGTCACCGTTTTGGCAAAGCCCTTATCCTGCCTGTTGTGTAATTTGTAGGGCAATACTTGTGGATACCTGACTGCAGCAAGAAATGTGATAGACTTTTAAGCATACAATGTTATTGTTCCCAGCTCCGCATATGAATTATTTTATATGGCAAACTGTACTCACGATATAGATTAAATGTTTCAAGCATAATGTAAGCAACATTAAATCCACAGAAAGTGCTGGATAGTTAATCTTAATCAATAATAATATAATACCTATACTGATCCAGTTATCAAAAACAATAAAAAAAGAAATTGGAAGGGCAGTCAGCATGTAAATTGTCTCTGTGGGCCAAATTCTGCTGTCATGAATCCCCATGCAACATCAACAAAGTCAATGGTGTTGCAGAGAAGTAACTGAGTGCCGAATTTGTTTTCTCTTTAGCCATTTCTACATTTTAAAATGCAAAGAAAGCATGCTTCATGATATAGTGTTCCTCTTCCAAATGACATAGTCATAGATTCTAAGCCCAGAAGGGACCACTGTGATCACCTAGTCTGACCTCATATATAACACAAGCAATAGAAGGTCTCCAAAATAATTCCTATAGCATATCTTTTAGAAAAAACACCCAATCTTGATTTTAAAATTGCCATGGAGAATCCACCATGACCCTTGGTAATATGTTCTAATGGTCAATTACTCTCACCATTAAAAATTTACACCTTATTCCAGTTTGAATGTGTCTTATCTTCAACTTCTGGCTATTGGATTGTGTTATACCTTTCACTGCTAGATTGAAGAGCCCATTATTAAATATGTGTTCCCCATACACGTACTTAGAGACTCATAGGTGCTAGAACTAGGGATGCTGGGGGTGCTGCAGCACCGCCTGGCTTGAAGTGGTTTCCATTACATACAGAGTTTACAGTTTGGCTCAATGGTTCTCAGTACCCCCCCCTATAAAAATTGTTCCAGCATCCCTGTATAGACTGTAATCAAGTCACCCTTTAACCCTCTCTTTGTTAAGCTAGACAGATTGAGCTCCTTGAGTCTCACTATAAGGCATGTTTTCTAATGCCTTAATCATTCTCGTTATTTTTCTCTGAACCCTCTCCAATTTATCAACATCCTTTTTGAATTATGGGCACCAGAATTGGACAAAGTATTCCAGCACCAGTTGCAGCAGTGCCAAATACAGAGGGGAAATAACCTCTCAATTCCTACTCAAGATTCCCCTGTGTATGCATCCCAGGATCACATTAGCTCTTTTGGTCACTGTGTCACACTGGAAGCTCATGTTCAACTGATTATCCACCACAACCACCATGTCTTTTTCAAAGTCACTGCTTCCCAGGATAGAGTTCCCCATCCTTATATATGGCCTGCATTCTGTGTTCCCAGTTGCATATGTTTACATTTAGCCATATTACAATGCATACTGTTTGCTTGTGCCCAGTTTAACACATGATCTAGATCATTCTGAAAAAGAGACCTGTTCTCTTCATTATTTATCATTCCCTCAGTTTTTGTGTCATCTGCAAACTTTATCAATGATGAAGTTATGTTTTCTTCTAGGTCATTGATAAAGACGTTATATAGCATAGAGCCAAGAATCAATCTCTGTGGGACCCCACTGGAAACAGACCCACTCATTACAGTTCCTTTTTGAAAACTATCAGTTAGCTAGTTTTTAATACATTTAATGTGTCCCATGTTAATTTTATATTATAGTTTTTTTTTTTAATCAAATGTTTTGTGGTACCAAGTCAAACACTTTACAGAAGTTTATGTATTTTATATCAACACTATTACCTTTGTCAACCAAACTTGTAATCTCACAAAAAAAAAAAGATATCCAGTTAGACAGGATCTATTTTCCATAAATTCATGTCAATTTGTATTAATTACGTCACCCTTCTTTAGTTTTTCATTAATCAAAACCCTTAACAGCCACTCCATTAGCTTTCCAGAGATCGATGTCAGGATGACAGGCCTATAATTACCCAGGTCATCCTGTTTACCCTTTCTAAAAATTGGCCCAACATCAGCTTTCTTCTAGTCTTCTGGAACTTGTGCTACAAGACTTATTGAAAATCAACATTAGCAGACCAGTGAGCTCCTCAGTCAGCTCTTTTTAAATTCTTGGATGCAAGTTATCTGGATCTGCTGATTTTAAAATGTCTAACTTAGTAGCTTCTGTTAAATATCCTCCAGAGATACTAGTGGAGTGGAAAAAGTGTTGTCATCACCATATGATGAGACTGAATCATCTGTTTTTCCCCCAAATACAGAAGAGAAATATTTATTGAACAATTGTATCATTACTGATAATTCTAGCATTTCCATCTAGTAATGGAACAGTACCATTGTCAGGATTCTTTTTATTCCTAATACATTGAAAAAATTCCTGATTGTTTTTAACTCTGCTGGCCATAGATTTCACCTCATGTCCCTTGGCTTCCCCCTTACCAATTTTCTTCAATTCCTAACTTCTGATTTATATTCTTTACTATCAACTTCCCCTTTCTTCCATTTGTTATATTTTGTTTGTTTTATTTTTTATAGTTGTCTTCATTTCCCATTAAACCACGTAGGTTTTGTTTTTGTTTTTTTAACCAGGGCATTCTTCTTCAGTTGTGAGATTGTGACTTTTGAGGCATCTAGTTAGGTGATCTTAAATGATTCCCAATTATCATCACATTTTTCTGATTATATTCTTTCTCCCAGCTGATTTGGTTCATAAATGTTTTTCAGTTTTGTGAAACTGGCTCTATTAAAGCATATATAGTCTATATATATTGCTGGTCTGAACTTAATTCTTCTTGCACTTTTTAAATGTCATCAAGTCATGATCACTTGTACTTAAGTTACCATTAACTTTTAGTTCTGTGATCAGTTCCTCTGTATCTGTTAGGTAAAGGTCTAATATATAATTTCCCCATATTGGCTGAGTTAGGACATTGTCATCTATAATGTTTAGAAATTCCAATGATGCCTTATGCTGGATTTCTCATGCTGCCTGTACTATGTCACTCAAACTGAAGTCCCCCATGATCAATTTTTTCCCCCTACGCATTATTACTCAGTGCATAAGGAGATGGTTATCCTGTTCCATAGTGTGAATTAGTAGTCTGTAGCAGACACCAGCTCATGTCCCATATTGTGCTTTATCTGTTAGGACATTGATCACCAGAAATGGTGAGTTTCAACATTGTTAAAAACCCAGCCCTTACATATTACCATCTCTTGATAAGGATTTACCAACCACAGTTAACGGTTTATTCTCCATTTGGTATGGATACATTCCATTAATGCTAATAGGAATTCTATTCATGCATCCAAAAAAGGCTCCTTTTATAGCAAGTATATTTAGAATGCCACTGTAATGTAGACAACATTTTTTATTACAAATATAAAATATCTATTACACAAGCCTATAAAAATATTGGGCTGTATAATAGAATGGCCTGGCTTTAAATATCAACACACATAATAAGAGATACTTTTAATGCAAAAGGCCTGAACTGTAACAAAGATGAGCCAAATCCTGTAGTTCGTATTCAGTCAACATTCCTATGGACTTTGATGGAAGTTTTGAATGAGTATGTTCTGAGTAATTAGTGAGTTTATTGGTAATGGTTGTATTTCTATTGCAATAGTGCACAAATGCCCAAATCAGGGGTCCATCAATCCTCATCAGAACAAATGGTCCATTCCATGAAGGGTTTACAGGGTAAAGTGACAAACAACATAGGAAATGTGAGTGAGAAGGCTGTGGACAAAATGTGTACAGTGTTTAATATAATGTATATACATTAAAATGTCACTTCAACTATGGCCAACTGCCCTTCAACCTAACATTAATTAGTTGGCTAATTATTTGTAGGCACCAGAGAAGAAGGGAGTGAAGGTTTTAACATGCATGATTATCATATATTGCTGATTAATGTGGTTGTTGCTGATTTAGGGCCAGACTGTGCCTGTGTCGGGCTGCACTGCCCCAGTGGGAGTTCAAGATGGATTCTGTCTGAGAGGCAAAATCCCTCTGGAGATCATGTGAGATGTGTACACTGCAGTATTTGTTAAGAATGAACAATGGTCCCATCTCCTTAAATCTCTGGGGCACTGGAAGGGAGGTCCTGTACCCTGCTACCAGGTCCAGCACTGTCTGACCCATAATTGTGTGAAAACTTTAATCTCCAAATGGAAGATAGTTAATTCCAGTACTGTAGAGTCTAACCCTGAAGGCTTGACACAGAGAGCATACCCAATAAAATCAATAGAGTTATTGCCATAGGAAGAACTGCATCCTGGCTCTTATCAGGTCAGATGCCCTCTCAGCAGCATCAATGTCTGTTCTCTGCCAGCTTTAACTAATTTCTGAAATCACCCATTTAAATAGCTACATATTCAGCTGAAGGGAAATGCAGTTTCAGGGCAAACTTTCAGCATTTATTCCTCATTTAGAATTCTGGGACTGGATCAACCTCTCCAGGGATCAACCGCTCAGGAGGGGCTAATTGGGGGTGGGACTCTGTGCCAGGTGAGAATAACCTTGAGGAGTTGCCCCATTTTCAGAGTGGAAGAGGGCATAGTGGGCTTTTCTCCTGTTGAATAAGCCAGAGGGTGCACCCATCAATTTAACGGATCACCAGATGGCCAGGGCCAGCCAAAGGAAATCCATATACTTCTGTCAGCCCTGCATCCCCTCCATCTTGTCCTGTCACCATGGCTCCAATGGAACTGTGGTAACAGGGCTTCCCCAGCACCATCATAAAAGGAGGAGAGGGAGAGGGATCTTGCCACCAAGAGGAGACTCCAAAGCAGAGCTAGTACAGTCCCAGGCAGGGAAATCTGGGAGGAGGGGGGCGATTTGCATGGCACTGGTACAGGGACCTCCAGCCTTCACCACTAGCCAAACTGTGCCTAAACCACTGCCCACCTTTGGCATGCTCAGTTCCCCACCTCCTTCCTCCCCCCCCCCCGGCAGATCCCAGCCCCATGGAGAGCCTTCCGCAGGGTCAGGGGAAGTAGGTCTGGGGTGAGGTGAAAAGGGGAGCAGTGCTCAGGAGGATACGGATCCACCTTTCCTTGCAGGATGAGGAATATTTGGGGCAAGCATGCCTTGGCACTTGATTTTGCTTTTGTTGAGGAAATCTGTACCAATGCAGTTTAATGAACCCATTGGGGATATATTGTTTCTGTGATAATATGTAGAGTGCTAGGAAAGCATCTCTTTCTGAGTCTCTCTCTCATCCTGTAGTAACCAGCCTCAGAGGGGGTGGGAGGAACAGAGAAACTAAAGTAAGTTCCATGACTGTGATTAGTTGGTTGCCCACAGGCTTTTGGGTGCATGTTACATTAATGCCAAAGGTAAAGTAATTAACTATGTAGGAATGCTCTCTCTTTTTTTTTTTTTTCAAATACTTACGCTTATCTTTGTTCCGTCATTGTCCAAGTCTCTCTCTGGTAAGAGCTCCACCTATTGGGAAAGGATAACATTTGTGAGGAGCTGTTGCCGTGCAGTGCTGGGCTACTGGCCCTTGTGCAAAATAACCACTAAAGCGCAACAGATTATTTCAGCCAGCCTTTCCCCGAGAACACTTGCATGCTAAGTGTGCCACCTATAGGCAGAACCTCATTGGGAGAGTTGAACAGACTGAATTTAGCTTCAGTTCTATACAAGTGCTATTGCGGCAGCCTGCATTATAGGATTGTGGCACGCTGAAAACACTGTATTGAAAACGAGAACAGATGCGTAGTGTCTTCTTGTAAGACTAAACTGTCATTCTCCATCCTATTACGATCAGGCTTCAGGAAGAATCCTCAGTATAAAACTCGTGTGGACGGCATAGGAGGATTAAAATGTTAGAGAGAATGATTTTTTTCCCCCAATCCTATCTCAGGGAAAATGTTCAAGGCAAAGGGAGAGTTCTTTCTCTCCTTTCTTTACATAAGTAAGGACTGAGCCCAGTGGATGCTTGTGTGGTTGTCCTGAAATCCTAAACTGATTCCTATTAGAAGGATATTTAATTTTTTCAGTGTAACTATCAATCAGAAACAATGCAAGGGGGAAAAACCGAGGTTCTGTACAGAAAAGAGTCCTCGACACTAGGCTTTGAAGGCTACAAGAGTGGGTTTTTTGTTTTGTTTTGGAAGCTGTGAATCCCCAAAAACAGCTTCCCCCCCCCCATGCCTGACGAATTAGATTTACAGATTCCAGTGCCCCAATGGCTAATAAGGGATTGTTGTAGTATCTTGACACTTGGGAAATGCACTCCTTCAAGCAGCAACTCTATTAACATAGGATTTGTTTGAAGAGAGAATCAGACTTGAGAAATCCATGTCGCTTTCCTAAAATGTGAAGCTGAGCTAGGGGAGTGGCAGGCACCGAAGATCCCATCCCCTGGGGTGGGCATTTCTCCCTGCAGCCTGCTGTGCTACCGTTCATGGGTAGCATTAAGCCTTCAGCGAAATCCACTACCCCCTCCCCCCCTTTTTGGCGTGCTTGGGTGGATTGGCCGCTTGGAGGGGAGGGGGAAGCCCAGTGGAGGCGCATCGGTACCTGAGTGCCCGTCACCTCGCCTCCAGCCTCCTGCTCCTCGGCTGCTCGCAGAAACCACCACTGGATCTCGAGGTACACCGAGGCGGAGCCGCTCTGGAAAGCGCACGACATCTCCACGTTCTGCCCTTCAGTGGCTGTGACATTTCGGGGGAACTCGGTGAATTTTGCTGCAAAACAAACGCAAACAGCTTATTGGGATCTCCCGCTCCTTCTTCTCTCCTCTTCCCCCTCCCCCCATTTTCGTCTGTTTTTCTTTCTTGTTCTCTATCTCCCTACCTTTTCCCCTCCCTGTTTCCTTGTCCTTTTCTCACTGCCTCCTTTACATTTCCCCATTTCTATCGCGCCCATTTCTCTGTTCCTCATCTTTTCTCACTCCCTTTCCCCATCTCTCTTCTCCTTCTCTTGCCCCCATCCCCCGCCCCCCGCTTTGTCTCACACATTTATATATTTTCGCCAATACGCACAACTCCCGCTCTTGTGCTCAAGTCCCGCTAATGGGAAAGCTAAGTACCCCCTCTGATCGCTCCCCTGGGTTAAGAAAGTTACATATAATTAGATCCAAATATCCTTGGGTGGAATGCAGTATTTCACCAAACACATTGAGGGATTTCAGTGAAAGGCAATTTGGAAAATCAGCACCGCTCATGTATTGCATTTCCTAGGTGAGTGCATGTGAATGATTAAACTCTACATGGTTAACTGAAATAGATATTTAGAATGTGTAATGTGCTAAGAGGTGCGTTATGATCACTCATCAAAATGCACGTTTCAAACACATTAACTGAGTCACGTATTTCTTTTATGATAATTTATGCTCTCACAGTGAAACGAATAAACAGTGTTTCTTATCATTCTTCATCCTGGCAGACCCACTTTCCAAAACGAACAAACACCTCCTCTTTAAATATGACTACTCCCATCTTCCCACACCATTCTACGGTTGAGCAAAATTCCTACAAATACACACAGTGCAAGACACCAATGTTTCTTAAAAGTCACCATCGAGCCACCCTATATGTTCCTTAGGCTCGTGTGTAGCTCATCTAAAAATCGAGCAAACTTGATGATAAATCTTGTAGACCCCATCCTGGCCAGTGAAAGAAAAAAAAATAAACCTCCTGGTTCAAATCTAAGAAACACTGGACAGGAACAGACCCATTGCTCAAAGAATTCAACAGCCAGTTATCCATTCCCAGCTGTGTGTTGTTATAGGCTGACAACGCTTAGGAGGGAATGTTTGCAGTGTTCCCCTTTCTCCCTAATGCGTCCAAGCTCCTCATTTGAAGTTTATTTGTGGGGTGATTTGGGAATATACCGAACCCCCGTTTGCTTTCTAAACACTTGTACTACGAGACAGAGGCATAAAAAAAGCTGCTATTTCTTTTATTTTACAGTGCCTCCCCCCCCCCCCCCGACATTCTTTTTAGTCAACGCTAGCTGTTCAGCTAGTTAACGGGCAAAGTGACTCTTCATTCTGCATGCTCACGGATTGAAAGAAGTTTTCCTCCCTGGTCAGTGTTAAAAAAATATATACATCAGGACAGGAGTTGTGTTTGCAGAAATGATGCAGCGTTCAGCGGGCAGCCTGAGACGCTCTGTCCATGGTGCTGAAATGATCACTGCAGCCCTCAAAGTCCCAAACAACTGGATTCTGCAGAGCTGGGGCTGCTTGGAATGCAAGACGCCCTTTTTAGTGAGGTCTTCAAAGAAGTCGATCTTTTTTTGAGATCTATACATAATCACTAAAGGGAAACAAAGGGCTGAGACTGAGGATCACGGAAAAGAGTGGAAAAGGAGCCAGATCCTATATAGATTGCAATATTTAATGAAGGCACACGATTTAGCCATCTTACATTATGTGTGCATGTAATAATTACGTATGCATGGGTGGGTATTCGCTGTAAACATACATATATACACAACCCAAACACGCGTATGTATGCATTCATTACAAATATACACACAGCATTTTCGTCCGTCCAAGGTATTTCTCATTTTCCCTTCTTGCAATCTAGTATGAGCAGTCGGTTTAGGGGCAAACTTCTCCCCTCTTTTGCTGTTTGTAATTTCTAAGGCTTGGAATCTATATTCTCCTATGCATCTTTTTGGGAGCCCTGCTTCGGATTTTAGGGAGTACACACACATTTGACAAAGAGCGATCTTACCTTGGGTAGAAAGTCCTTGTTGAATATACAAAACGGAAAAGAAAATGCATCCAACATAAGCCAGAAAGATCCCCATCATTCCAAAGCGAAGCAAAAGTCACATCAGGGTAACAAAAACCAAAGGTGCCCTCAAAGAAAGGAATCACACACACACACACACACACACAAATTTACAGAAAGGCTCTGCGCTGTAGCCCTGGCTGCGACACTGCGAGCATTCTGCTACTCAGTGGAATCTTTTCTTTGGGAAGAGAGGGTATTGCAATACATTGAGGGTTCAGATGAGCTGGCTCGGGCGCTGTGATGCTTGAAGTCCAGACCCAGACTAAAAAAAAAGAAACGTTGAAAAGTGGGTATCAGCTGCCTTCTCTGCCTTTTTTCAGCTACCTGGCAGCTCCGTCCAACGTCAGCTCCAGCTGCTCAGGATTGCGTGATGATGACTGCCCTCCCTAAACGCTGATCCGGCTTAGGAAGTGGGGAGTGGGGGAAAGGGGAGGGGATGGGAGGAAGGGAGAGGAGTCTACTGTGCTTGCATTGCTTCAACTTTTCCCTCTAATGGCTGCGATGATGCCTTTAACCCTTCACACCTTCTGGGTTCTCCATACCTCTCCACCTGCTGTTACTTGGGCTGGGTAACATGCTGGAGGAAAGCCGACTTTTGCGTATGACTGTGGAACCTAGGAGCCTTTATTGTACTGATACAATCTCCAGTCTGGCATCTCACATCGGTCAGAGACTAAGAGGGCAATGGAGTGGTTTGTTTTTTGGTGGGTCTCTCTCTCTCTCTCTCTCTCTCATGTAGGGGAAAACAGTTAAATATTAGTTAATATTATGAGTATGCTGTTGAACTTCTTGTTCACTGTCCCAAATAACTATGATCACCTAATATTTTTCATTCAAAATGTTGTTGATCAGCTTTTTTTTTCCAAAATAGATTAACAAGATTTAAAAATAATCAGTTGCTCATAGGATACATGTATTTATATATGATGTTAGGATATATATGGGGAAATACCTATACTCACTTATACATGTGTATGTGTGATTTGCCCAGAAAAAAAATCAGTCTTTGACACTTTGATATTCTATTGATGTGCCATAATAAAATTTATATAACTATAGTACAGAGAGATTTTTAACTACATAAAGAATTTTTCCTTCCAGACTGTATTCATTGCACATTACTTGTATCGACCGGGATTCATAAGACTATGATACCATATTGCAGTCAAGAGGCAACTCTTGACTATAATAGGTGTTCAAAGAGTCTTAAAAAGACCCCTCTGTCCAAAATATCCTGCTGCCTATAGGAAAGGGCCATCCAGAAAGTATTCCTGGCACTAAGGAAACAATAAATACCTTTGCATGGATATCAAAGACTACGAAAAAATCAGGACATGAAGTGGGTATATGACAAGTAGTCAGACTGTCAGATCATTTATATCATTCATAGATATAAGCTAAAAACTAAACATTTAGAGCCATTTAGGAAAGAACTGTAGCCATAAAATTGCATTATATCCATATGGACAAACTGTTTTCCCATTGAGTGAAACGTTGGGGAGGTCTGTCATTTAAAACAATGGAAATGCAGCAGTTCCACAATGGTTAAGGAGCAACTTTTGCTTTACTCACTGCACCAATCTCTCTCAGATAAAGTGATTATATCTACATCAGACATTTGACACAAGAAAAATAACTATTTAGAACCTGAACATGGGATTAAAGTGTCTCCAGCTTTAAAAGTGATTTCACCTCACCATTTATTTATTTTACGAATGTCAGACTTCCCCTCGATATTTATATAGCAGAAGGAGATATTTCCCCATGATAATGGTCTGTTCCACTGATGTCACCTTTTAAGTATAGCGATGGCTTTTAATAAAAAAAAAAGTACAGTATAAATACTCAAAAAATGACTGCAGATACAGCAAAAGTACTTAATTTGGAAGGGTTTATTTTGCTATAGAGGTTGTTCTTATGGAGGTCATGATAAATGTATCGAAAACCAGAGAAAAGTCTACAAAAAGAAGGAAGAGAAAAACAAGTCCTTAAACATGATAAGACTGAATTTTCAAAAGGAACTAGTGATTTTGACATCTCAGTTATTAGGTGCCCAACATGAAACACCTGATTTTTCAATGGTGGGATCTCAGCATTTTCTGAAAAGTCAGGCACCTTTCAGGTGTCTCAAGCTGAGCAGCCAAAATCCCTACTCACCTTTGAAAATATAGGCCGACTGATTATATGCTTCAGTTTAACTACATACGTGTCATCAGTAATCAATGTAAATGACAAATTACACATACATTATCAGCAGTCAAATTGAATGCAAACTAGATTGAAAAACAGATTTTATGCAGCATCACCTGGTTTGGAGGGAAAGAGGGAACCATAAAGAGAGCAATCTTTCCAATCCAGACAAAATTTAATTTTTGCAATTTGCAATTCCAGGTGAAAGCAAATAGATTTCTCAGAAAGGTATTATAATCAGCTGAAGTAACTAAAACTTGTGCTACCATGATAGCAAGGGGACTCTTTACTGAATATACAAAATAACATCTGGCCTTGTTAATTTTAGAAAGTTGAAATAGTGAAAAGAATCCTAAAACTTGGACTATGGTCAGTATATTGCTTTACTCACACAATGTAATAGTGTTATATAATGTTATCAAACGTTGCTAGTAGAAATGATTAGCTTTAAGCAGTTTCACATAGGAAAAAAAAAATCCTCTTCTGCCTGTCTGAGTAAAATGCACTCTGATGCAGAGACCTTGCCCAGAGTCAACTGCATCATGTACGTCCCACATTGGGGCTATAGGGAAGTACTTGGACCAGATATGCTGGGAATCTCTGCATTTCTCTTGTGCTGCAGAAAGGGTTTTTATGCTGACCCCTATAATATGGTGTGAAGGTCACTGATGGTGGCTTGTGGGAGGAGTTATTAAATTGATGTTTTTGCCACTAGAGTGGCTCTAAGACATGTATAACTGGCAAGGAGGGGCTGTGGACACTCAATGCATAGGCTGGAGCATCTGCACACAATAAGGGAGAATTTCAAAAGTGCTTAAGGATTTAGCAGCAGAAATTCTATTGATCTGGATCTGAATATTGCAGCTTCAGCCTATTTCTAATGGTCATTCATTATAATTATTGTTTAATATGTATATCACTGTAGCACCCATTCAGGATCAGTGTGTCCTTGTACACTGTTCAAACACATAGGAAGATGGGTTCTCTAACCCAAGCAGCTTACAAGCTCAAGAAATGTATACCTCTATTGATTGGTCTGAGTGACTTCAAGGTTCATATTGATTATGAATTTTCTAGGTGAATTATTGATCCCATTCACAGTATGTCTTTATCTAGATCTATTGTTGGAGAAAATTTGTCAGCTCCTTAAGAAGGGAAGGGTGCCAGCATCTGTTAAAGAAACTGTCATTAGGTTCCTTCTCAAGAAACCATTTCTTGATGTGGAAAATCTTATTTATTGATTTGTCTCAGATTTCTCATTTCTGAGGAAGGTTATCAAGAAAATTGTGGGAAAGCCAACTTTAATAACACCTAGTTTTCTTTGATCCCAGCTGTGACACTGGAAGACCAGGTGCCAGTTCATGCCAAGGCCCCAGGCCCTACTGAACACTGACAAATGCATAGCTGGAAACCAATCTGGCTCACCCTAATGACCGTATCCAATACTATAAGTTAATATGTATATGTTTGCTCTGTAATTATAAAGAAAAAATTGCTAAGGGCTTGTCTACACTTACAACATTGCAGTAAAGCAGATGCACCAGTAGTAGTGCTTAGTGAAGATGCTACCTATGCCCTTGGGAAAGCTTCTTCTATTGGCATAGGTACTCCACCTCCCCCAGAGATGGTAGCTATATCTAGCTATATCACTGGGAGAAGCTATCCCATTGACATACCACTGTCTACACGGGGGAGGGAGGGGGGTTAGGTCAGTATAACTACATTGCCCAGGGGTGTGGATCTCCCACACCCCTGAGTGACCAAGCCTAAGGGTATGTCTACACTATGAAATTATAGAATTCAATCTTTAGAAAGCGATTTTATACAGACGATCGTGTAGGTCTCCACTAAGCGCAGTAGGTCGGTGGAGTACGTCCTCAATACCGTGGCTAGCATCGATTCACGGAGTGGTGCACTGTGGGTAGCTATCCCACAGTCCCCTCTGCTCACTGGAATTCTGGGTTAAGCTCCAAGTGCCTGGTGGGGCAAAAACATTGTTGTGGGTGGTTTTGGGTACATGTCATCAGTCTCCCCTCCCTCCCTCACTCCCTCCTTGAAAGCAATGGCAAACAATCGTTTCACACCTTTTTTCCTGGGTTATCCATGCAGATGCCATTGCATGGCAAGCATGGAGCCTGCTCAGCTCAGCTGTTGCAAGCATTGTAAACACCTTGCGCATTATCCTGCAGTACGTGCAGAGCCTGGCTAGGAGCCACCAGCATGAGGACAATTGTGGGGAGGACATGGACACAGACATTCTTGAAAGCACGGGATGTGGCAATTGGGACATCATGGTGGTAGGGGGCAGATTAATACAGTGGAACACCGATTCTTGGCCCGGCAAACAAACACAGACTGGTGGGACCGCATAGTGTTGCAGCTATGGGATCATTCCCAGTGGCTGTGAAACTTTTGCATGCATAAGGCCACTTTCATGGAACTTTGTGACTTGCTTTCCCCTGCCCTGAAGTGGAAGAATACCAAGATCAGAGCAGCCCTCACAGTTGAGAAGTAAGTGGCGATAGCCCTCTGGAAACTTGCAACACCAGACAGCTACTGGTCAGTCGGGAATCAATTTGGAGTGGGTAAATCTACTGTGGGGGCTGCTGTGATCCAAATAGCCAATGCAATCACTGAGCTGCTGCTATCAAGAGTAGTGACTTTGGGAAATGTGCAGGTCATAGTGGATGGCTTTGCTGCAATGGGGTTCCCTAACTGTGGTGGGGCGATAGACAGAATGCATATCCCTATCTTGGCATCGGACCACCTTGCCAACCAGTACATAAACTGCAAGGGGTACTTCTCAATGGTGCTGCAAGCACTGGT